AGGTGCGTACTGGTTTTGAAAAGGAGCCACCGCTGGGATCGAACGACCGCCGCTGTCCGATTTTTTAACGCTCCTGAAGGTGACATTCTCCAGGTCCGCAGGGACTTTCTTACGCTGGCGACGTGCATCTTCCTTTGAGCACTCTTTGGCCGGGATAACAAGTTGATGAGAATTATTATGATCTTGAATTGTAGATTTGAATTACTACAGAACTGCAAATTACATTTCTGCCCTGGAAGAGCGGGTCTTGAAGAGCTTTTCGAAAAAATCTAACAAAGAGATGCCTCGCAGTCAACGTGCAAATGCCTAAACAAGTCACGTACCGATGCCATTGTCAGGCGAAAAGTCGTTGGTAGTGCTGAACTCGGTGTTCAGCTGATCAGACGATGGCGTCTCGGTCCGCTGATCTGTGCAGGACTCCGGTCGTCCCGCTGGATCTGTGCAGGACTCCGGTGTTGAGTACTGCATATTGCTCCGGTACCCGCCTGCGAATATGGTGGGGACGCAGTTCGCTGTTCGACAAACGCTGCGCTATTAATCCGCATTCTGAAAAGGTAACGTACTTTTTAATGCGGATCTTATAAACGTCTACTTACCAACATCAAAACGCTGTATGGCGCTGTTCGGCTTGTAAAAGACATTTACTACTTTGGCTATGTTCATTTTGTTAAGTCAGGGTAACAAACAGGTCTTACTTTGGTCAGACCTGTAAGCTCCTGTGAAGCCTGCAAATATCGCTTTCAACGAGCCACTTTGCCCATAAAAATTTACTGATGCATTACAATGTGGGTTGTACAAATTCAGCTTAGAACTATACGGCGCCCTTGCAAAGTCAAACTGCGCGACCCTTCACTTTTGAACGCAGCTTGTTGCTAGTAGTTTATTTGTATGTGCTTACATCTTTATTTATTCAATTATTTTTCCATTGTTCATCAGTTCACTTGTTGAGCTTAGTTTCAGAAAGAGATCTAGGGGTCAAGGTTAACCCCATACGAGTGATTTCGCTGTGTGTGAAAAATGAGAGGCAGCTGGCTCATTTTTTCAAGGCCCCATAGGTACCCAAAGTGCACCTAATCCTTCGACGCTACTCACCAGGGAAGGTCAACAGGTCACCATGGCCATTTGAGATGGGATGCATATCGATGCGTACGTCTCGCTCAAGAAGCTTAAACTCAAACCCTGCTTTCAAATCTTTACCGACAACGATCCTCTGGGAGAGTTAGCGGGCGGAGCGTCTAACGTAGGCATCTCGCCGATCCTCCCTTTGTTGCTAGCCCAAGTTACTAGTGTGTTCGCTGCGTATGGTTGGGTGTGTCAGGCGGGATGAGTTTGGCGCGGTGCCAAACCTGTTCTCCACAAGTTGTTGAAGCGAGCAGATGATATGACTGTATCATATCGTTCGTATTACTCGTTTTCTACCACTTTTTGTCGCATGCGCGCTTCAACAAGAAGGCAGAGAACGGCTTTGACGGGGTGACACACTCATACTGCCTGACACGCCCAACCGTCCGCAGCGAACTAGAGTGTAAGTATCGAAGACAGATAGGCCCCAAGTGGTCGATGTGTAGTGCGAGTAGGTGGAGTTGCTTCGACATACGTGAGTGTAGTTGCGTTTGGATTCCTTGACAAGATGCGCACTTGCATTTTATTTTTGGAACATCTCTCTGTGGAGTGCTACAGAGTATTTCTGAGTTTGTACGCCCGATCAGCTGTGAGCAATGGGATTCACACAAACAAATCTGAGTCACGAAAACTCTGAAGTCTGTGATTTAGCTATTATAACCGGTATTTGAGGTGTGATATGTAGTCTGTGAGGATAACTATAAGAATCAGAAAGGCCGATTTATGACCAGATCTTTTGGATCCTAACGCGCTCCCACTCTGATCGGGACATACTTGCTATACCCTCGCCCAGAAGATACTGTGTTGGATGCAGACTGCTCTGTTGACTCCCCTGAACAGGTGAAGTGGTTGCCGTATCAGGGCCATTTTTCATTACATGTTCTCATATCCAAAATACGCTGGATGGAAAATCATAGTCCGCCAGTCCACCGACGTCTTAGAAAGGTCGCCGAAACACCTCTACCCGATGCACTACCGGCCAGTGATCTCATGCATGTGTAGTTCATTGGACGTTCAGAAAAGAAACAAAGCGAAAAGCGTCCGCGCTCGAAGAACTGCAGATATGAACCGCCCAGTGGTTAAGAGCTATGTACATCCCAGTTCCCTTTGTCTGCAGAGATGCCCTAGCGCGGACAACTTCATCCCAGCGCGGTAAGCCTGCCGCCAGTTTAGTCCAATTCTCTTTGGTATCATCTAGAAGAGAAGAACTTGTTCAGGTAGTTGTTTGTCGCCGAATCCAAACTCCCACTAGATGGTTGCGAGATAAAGCGTTATTGTTAGGACTACTGTCCCGACGTATAGTCGAGAAGCAGTTCTGTTCGCCAAGCGTCAGTGCCAAGGCCACATACGGTTAATATTGGTATTCTCCAAAGCAGAGAAGGAACGGGTCATATTTGACTCTTCAAAATTTTTTTCCTGATTGATGAGCGCGCTTGGTGCTACCCTTTCCGTTCAGCGGACTTTTCGGGGATGGTCGTATTTCCAGAATTGTTCCTCAATACTAATGTGCCTTATCATAGCTCTTCCTTGATCATCAAAACCACTTTTTCATGCCAATAAATTCTGCATTCAGCATAAGTCAAGGGGTAATGTGACCGTGCCCCTTGCGAGATGTGCCAGGCATCCGATCTCTGCTAAAAAATGGATTTGCTTTTGGGTGTGCTTTTGAGCCAAATCTTCATTCGAAGCCGATCGCAACACTTTAGTGCGCAGCTTTCATCCCTTTACACATACATTCCCCACTCACGCTTGCCCCTAGCGATCTTGAATGTGTGAAAGTCGAAACACATTCGTACGTATTGCAATCTCATAAGTGGTTGCCACCCTCTGTCAGCCACTGCCTCACACCCCCTTGATACGATGTTCGATGGTTTTCGAACTCCATTTTTTATTGCAGTCCCGGACAATCTTGATCGAGATTAATGGCATCATGCCAAGTGTTAACGGCGCGTGACACATTCAATGCAATCGTTCCACCCTCCCCAACGTATTTGCTTGTACTTTCTTTGTCATGACTCGGACTCAAAACTAAGGCTAGTACATGTTTGTATTACACAACAGACTCATTTCAGTACGATTATAAACATCACCCTCAAGATGTCCACTTTTCCGGGCCAAGGGGCAATATCCAACAGAAAATATAGCGCCTGAAGTCAACCACCATATCCCTAATTCACGTACTCCGTGATCTCTCACGTACCCCCTTTTCGGCCGGGGAGAAAAAATATTTGCAGAAATTCTGGTAAGCAGCTGTGAATCAGTTCGGATACGAGCTAACGGAGATTATTTCACTTGATATGCACAGAATTCCTGGACTGGTTGACTCGGCCCACAGTGGCAATTTCGTATCAAATCATATGCCCTGGTGCGAATGAAGCGCGCGCGATGATTTTGTGTGCATCTTTACCCGTCTAGAACTTTTTTTAGCAAATATACGATGGCGTTCTATTACTTAATCGTACTTTTTTGTTATCGCCTCAGTGGACACATCACGCGATCAGTGAGATGTTCCCTCCAAAGATGACGTGTCTGCGCAGTGTTCGAGGAGCTGTAATATGGGGTATTGGTAAGGAAGAGAAATTATTGGAGCAAGTGATATAGTGCTTATACTGCGGAATTTCGTGGACGCCTGTAGCACGATTGAAGAATGATGCGGTTACATACCTGTAGGCATGGTGCAGGACCTTAGCACGCACATTGTTCTCGCTAATAGGGCGATATTCAGGTCAGGTCCGGAGCAATTCTGGTCGCGCTCGAAGATATAGAGGTTGATGTGATGTTTTCATAGGCCATGATACCAAAACATGTTCATTCTGACGAATGATGGCGAGCCTTTATTCTCGTGTTCCGATAATCTGCTTAAGCATGGGTTTTACAAGCTGCATAGACTATAATATAAAAGAACGTTCTTAACTCTGTAATCTCTCAATAGACGTCTGGTTGCAAGATATCTCTTCAGCAGTTTCATTGGAGAAGGTCGCTGCGCCGCTTCTTGCAACTAATTTACCAAATATTATGTACGGAATCCAGGAAAGTAGTCAAACCAAACATCTTGAAAGAACCTCCGCCAAGGATGATTCACGGGCCTAGAGCTATTTCGATGAAATATCTGCAATGCGATGAATCACGATAAAGGCGTCATATGTTTGATCCTCTGATAAGTAAACGAGAACTCCCACGCTGCATTTCTACTGGGTTAAAAGTAAACGGGGGACAAATGGTATTACTTCTTCCTCGGGAAACATACTACAAGCGCAAGGAACCCGTCATTAGGGAACAAACTGGAAGGCAGGGATAGCTGGGAAGTCAAGAATGTAGGCTTAGGCTGTGGTGGGCCGTGGAATCCGTGCCTGTGTAGGTAAGACATGACCTTGCAAAAGTCGCGTCGATACCAGCACTCGGGCCACCGGGCCAGAGGGCCTGCTGATGGGAAGCCCAGTGACAACAAGGAATGACCAAACCAATTATCATTCCATTAAGAAATATGCTTTCAGTAACTCCGTTCAAAAAAATGGTATCTGATAAATCAATGAAAAAAACTTTTTTTGGAGGTGTTATAATAACCACGTTTCCGTGAACCTCTTTCTTCAAATTGTTGACACAGCTGCTTTCGCAGCCGAACGAAAACCAAAAGGCAAGAATCTGTTCATTTTTACCTGTATTAGAGAATGATGTCACTCACGTTTTGTTGAAAAGCCGCCGCAATTTGTGCTGGTTGCAGGAGGGCAGCGAACGGATTCAAACAGTCTGACATAGCACTCGTCGTCGCAACATGCAGCGGCGGCTATGTCTATTCTGAAAACTCCCAGTCAGCTGTATTGGTAGAAATCGACAGGCTATGTCAGACGTGAAGTATAAACGCAACGAGCGACAAATCAATGAAGAATAAAAGTGACATTATATGGGAAATCAGCAAGAGGAAACATGGATGCGGAATAACAGGCGAAAAGACTGAGCATGTTACTAAGCTCAAGCTGCTGGAGGCTGTAGTTCGACTTGCTGGAAGAGAGCCCACCCAACAGCCCACCAGCGATTCGGATCTCAGAATGATCTTCAAAATTCGAAGTACTAACAACGATGAGTATCAAGTACGTTCCGACTTTGGACTCGGCGACCCTGCTGAAAAGTTGAGCACGGAAGTTACGCGATTGAGTGCCCCCCCCCCCCTTCAAATGACGACAGAATTATGGTGCAATTTACAAACGCACTAAAGAACGATAAAGACGGTACCTAGGCATTTCGTCGGACGGAAGTGACGAAAATGTCTTGCATGAACACCATTGTCATCTAATTCTCATTCAGATGCTAGGGAAAAAAATTCAGAAAAATTAGAGTAGTAGAAGAAACAGTCTAATAACTAGTCTATAATTCCCGATAAGAAGTAATCTGATCTTGTGTTGCAAGGTAAATGAAAACAAAAGCTATTTGCGATGAGTTAGTTGAAAGCTTTTCATAGAAACATTGGGCGCAGTTCGACCTGGTGGAGACTCCGAGTAGTACTCAGCAGAGCATG